CTGTTTTAGGTTTGTATGATTCAAAGATTTTAATGATAAATAATTAATGTAACTATGAAAACAACTTTGAATATGAATTTAAATGTTTAACATAAAAATGTATTCAATATGATACTTTCAATATAATCAACAACTACACAAAATAATTTAGGGAAACTTTTTCTCTTCAGGTGTCAGCTGTGAAGATCTCACTCCAACTAAAAATGAGGAGTCCGGTATAGGGGCAGCTCTGTTACTCTGTCCTACAATTACTCCAAACTATCATCTGGTGATGATTTCTTCTGGTATCTTCAATATCCAGGAACACCACCACAGTTCCTAATCTCTCACTCAGGATCAGGCACACCCATATCAAATCCAGTCCCTAGACTGTCTTTTAAAGTGAGTGAGGATAAAATCCATGTGAATCTACAGATCTCCTCTGCTGCAGTGACTGACTCTGCTGTGTACTACTGTGCTGTGAGCCCACAGTGACAGGAAACACCAAAACTCTCTACAAAAACTCAGGCTGACACACTGACATGCTGCTGAAAGCTTATACTAACATAGTTGACTTTGTCCTTTTACCTCCACTAGAGGGCCACATCATCTCATAGGTGATGCACTAGCTCAACACTGAGTTCAGCCATTCTGTCAATATGAAGTGCTGCTGAGAAGAAAAGTTTAGTCAGACTGACAGACTGAGCAACTTCAGCTGGTTCCTCCTGTTGATTTAATCCTTGTTGTAGAGATGGATCATTGGCTGTGGATCATTCTGGCTGCTCTTTTCTTTGGTAAGAAAACTCAACATGTTTCCTCTCAACACTCTTTCTACACAGTTACACATGAACGGATCTTTATTTGGCTTCTGCAAATTTACACTGAAACCTACTGATGGTTCTCCTACAGTCTCCTGAGTTTATTGATCATCTCTTCTTCTGCTTGTTTTCTTCTTCCTCAGAGTGTAAAGGAGAAGACTCAGTGACCCAGACAGAGGGAGAAATCTATGCTTTTGAAGGACACACAGTTACACTCAACTGTAAATTTGAAACCACTGATACATACCCCACTTTGTTCTGGTATCGACAGGATCTTCAGGATTTTCCAAAGTACATGCTGAAATCTTACTCGGGAACTGTTGAAAATGCACCAGAGTTCAACAAAGACAGATTTATAGCTGCAACAAATGGGAAACTATTTCCTCTGGAGATCCAGAACCTTCATCTGTCTGACTCTGCTGTGTACTACTGTGCTCTGCAGCCCACAGTGACAGGAAACACCAAAACTCTCTACAAAAACCATTGAAAACACAATACTCCACAACATCCACCAGAGGGAGTCCCACCCTGTTACAGTGATTGACTGTGCTGCTACATTCAAGACTTTTCTGTATTTAGAATAATGACAACAATGAAGGAAAATCAAACAGATTTATATTTTTCTTTCATATGACTCAAAGTAAAAAGGGAATGATGTTCAGTGAGGTAGAAAAAGTAAAATGAACATATGAACAAAATATAATCATGCATATAAAGAAGAAAATCCACTGACTGTTAGTTTTGTTTAATTTTTATCTAAATAAGAAGTCTCTTATAATTTGAAGTGTCTGTGATTCTTCTCGGTGTACCTCAGGGTTTAATTCTAGGTCCTCTCATTTTTCATTTTTATTTTTTAAATGTTTGAATCAAATTATGACGTTGTTCAGTTATTGCTAATGGTGGAAAGATTTTATCAAAATAAACTGTGATATTAAAACCACTGACTATTAAAATGAGTATTTGAAGCTCCACCAGGGGGCGACTTTATCACTGAGGAAGTACAACACCTCTGCAGAGAGTAAAACCATTGTGTGAATAATAACTGCTGCTGTGAAGAGAACACTTCTCACAGTGACTGTTGAACATCTGCTAGCCTGTCCTGTTGATTTAAACCTTGTTGTAGAGATGGAACATTGTCTCTGGATTATTTTGGCGGCTCTTTTCAATGGTAAGAAAGGATGGTTATGGTTTATCATTGAAGAAATATTGAGATAAACTGGAGTTAAAAACAGAAACTTCATTACAGTTTAGGTCTTTAGGTCTAAAAAGTAAAGCATTACTTTCATATTTGACCCTGCATTTTCCTCTCAGCTACATGAACAACATCATTCTAATGACGTATTTTCTCCACCTTTTCCAGGACTAATAGATGGAAACAAAATCTCTCCTGTTAGAGATGAAGTCAGTGGAACAGAAGGACAACCTGTAACACTCAGGTGTGACTATGAGACAACAAGTGAAAATGTTCTCCTCCACTGGTACAGACATCAATCTGACCTCCAGGCCCCTCAGTTTATACTCTGGAAAGGAGCCAGATCTTATAGCAACAGTAAATATATTCCAAATGGACGATATGAATCTGAAACATCAAGAAGCTCAACTGAACTGACCATCAAAGAGCTAACCCTGGCAGACACAGCTCTCTACTACTGTGCTTTAGACACACAGTGATACAAAGTGTAGAAGAGGCTGTACAAAAAGCTGAACACAGATATCTGACTGCTCTTCAAAGAGGAGGGAAGTGGGATTCAAACCACAGCTTCATATCAGACGGATTCTGTTTTATCAGAGTCACTGTGGTTACAGCTGATCATCAGACACTGTGGGAGGAGCAAATACACATCCATGACAAACTGACTGGATCAACTTTTGAATACAAACAATTTTCAATCTTTAACATTGAAAACAATTTAATTATGTTTATTTATAGAGGATTTATGAAAAGATACGTTATAAAGTAATTCACAAACAGAAAAGCTCATTTTAGTAAAAGATGACACAACTAAGATATGAACAAATAAAATCATTTAGATTTGAGATGGGAACATTAAGGAGGTTCCTGTCTGAGGTTCTGAGGCTATGACCAGGTTAGTATGGGGACTGCAGGTCTGATATGTATTCAAGAGCTGGACCATTAAGTGCTTTAAAAGTGATGAGTTCAACCTTACCATCATCTCTAAAAGAAACAGGTCACCAGTGAAAGGTCGTTCAAACAGGAGTCATATACTCTCTTTTCTTAGTTTAAAGTCCAACTGCCAAATTTGGAGTCCATTTATTAATTTCTGATTTCTTCCTGAGGAAATACCATTACAGTAATCTAATAGTGAATAAATAAAAGCATGAATGGTTGATTGGGTGTCATTCAAAGTCAGCACAGATCTTCTTCTGGTGATATTTCTTAGATATTAAAAGCATGATTTATAACTGTGTTTGTATGTTTCTGAAAAGTGAGGCTGCTGTCAAAATTAACTCTGAGGTTTCTGACTGTTTGTTTTTAATTGAGAGAAAACCAAAGGAGGACTGAATTTGTGTGTGTAACTTCTCTGAGATGATAAGTACTTCAGTTTAGTCCATGTTTAATTTGATAAATTTTCTGCCATCCAGTTTTTAATATTGATGATAAAGTTTGTGAGGTTTTCTCTGATGCTTAGATCTACAGGTAGATTCAGCTGAGTGTCATCAGCGTAACATTAGAATGAAATGTTGTGTCTCTGTATTAGGTGAAAAAGTCGCAGTATGTAAATAGAAAATAATACTGGTCCCAAAATTGACCCCTGAGGTACTCCACAGTTCACCTCAGAGTGAGGGGAAACATAAAATTTTTGATTTGTTAAATATGAATGAAACCATTTCAAAGCTGTCTCTGATATACCAACCCAGTCCTTCAGCCTCTATATCATAATTTTATAATAGACTGAATCGAATGCTGCACTTCAATCCAGAAACACAGGTACAGAGCATGCACAAGTGTCTGCCTTGTGGTCTTACTGAGGTCTGTATGGACTCCTTAGCTCCAACACTAACAACAAGTGAGTCAGGTTATAATAGCAGCAACCTCTCCTGTCAGACTTCCGTGACCAAGCAGATTGAGAATTAGCAAGCAAATCATCCCTGAGCCATATGTCCAAAACATGTCAAACAAACACATGAAACATTTGGAATCTCATGTATTTAAAGTGAAAATCCAACTAAATAAATTGATAAAATTGTTAAAAAAATGTCATCACTTAAAGACGAGTAGAAAGAACACTGATGCATGTGTGTCAATAGGTGATGTGTCTGAAAACAAGCCAATGATTGAAAAAAGTAAAGATTTGAACTCCCAAAGATGGCAGACTACAAGACAGGCTCTGATTGGTTAAAGTTGTGAGTAGAGTGAATAACAGAGAGCTGTGAATGAGACCTGTCTCTGGGATCAGGCTCCTCCTTCTAATCCTCCAACTTAGTGCTGATGTAGACTAAACAGAGAGATCACAGCCTTCTTTAGACTTGCTGGAGCTCAGAGTTATCAACACTGCAGATATGATGTCTCTGTTGATCTCAGTGTTGCTGGCTGCTGTGTGCCTTGGTATGAACTCCACTCTGTTTCTTTGACATCAATCCAGCACTGACATCAACCTGTAACAATCATCTAAAACTATTTGTTGTTGTTTTACAGAATGTATGGCACAAACAGACAAGGTGCTGCAACCACAAGGAGATGTGACTGCAACTGAAGGAGAGGCAGAGACACTAAACTGTCAATATACCAGCAGTTCACCGAGTAATTACCTCTTCTGGTACAAACAGGATGGAAACAACAGACCCAGATTCATCCTGAGTCGCTTTCAAGGAGATGAAGGAAACACACCAGAGGAGTTTAAGGAGAGATTTTCCTCCACACTGAATTCCTCCTCCAAGTCAGGATCAGTTCCTTTGAAGATCCAGAACCTTCATCTGTCTGACTCTGCTGTGTACTACTGTGCTCTGCAGCCCACAGTGACAGGAAACACCAAAACTCTCAACAAAAACCATTGAAAACACAATACTCCACAACATCCACTAGAGGGAGTCACACCCTGTTCATCTTTTCCTGGTCTGTGATGATTCAGTCTAGTCTTCTCTCTCAGGAGACATTAGTGATGAAGAGCTGCAGTCATGAATTGTTTTAACATCAAAGTCTCCTCCTCCTGACTGCAGAGGAGCTTCATGACAGAGATCTGTGTGAGTTAAGCTGAGATCATCAGACCAATCACAGCTCACCAAACTTCCTCAGCCTGATCCTTCACTTACAGCATTTCAACTCTACAAACATGGAAAAACTTTCTGTTCTTTTACTGTTTTCAGCTGTTTTAGGTTTGTATGATTCAAAGATTTTAATGATTAATAATTTATGTAACTATGAAAACAACTTTCATTCTAATGTTTAACATGTGAAAACTCATTTAATGCAAGATGGTCAATATAATCTACATCTGATCAAATCAATTTATGGGAAACTTTTTGTCTTCAGGTGTCAGCTGTGAAGATCTCACTCCACTGGAGAAAGAAAAGTTCAGTTTAGAGAGCAGCTCAGTTACTCTGTCCTACAATTACTCCAGAGCTGCTGCTTCTAATGATTATTTCTTCTGGTATCGACAATATCCAGGAACACCACCACAGTTTCTCATCTCTCACTCAGGATCAGGCACAGCCATATCAGATCCAGTCCCTAGACTGTCTTTTCAAGTGAGTGAGGATAAAATCCATGTGAATCTACAGATCTCCTCTGCTGCAGTGACTGACTCTGCTGTGTACTACTGTGCTCTGAGGCCCACAGTGACAGGAAACACCAAAACTCTCGACAAAAACTCAGGCTGACACACTGACATGCTGCTGAAAGCTTATACTAACATAGTTGACTTTGTCCTTTTACCTCCACTAGAGGGCCACATCATCTCATAGGTGATGCACTAGCTCAACACTGAGTTCAGCCATTCTGTCAATATGAAGTGCTGCTGAGAAGAAAAGTTTAGTCAGACTGACAGACTGAGCAACTTCAGCTGGTTCCTCCTGTTGATTTAATCCTTGTTGTAGAGATGGATCATTGGCTGTGGATCATTCTGGCTGCTCTTTTCTTTGGTAAGAAAACTCAACATGTTTCCTCTCAACACTCTTTCTACAGTTACACATGAACTGATCTTTATTTGGCTTCTGCAAATTTACACTGAAACCTACTGATGGTTCTCCTACAGTCTCCTGAGTTTATTGATCATCTCTTCTTCTGCTTGTTTTCTTCTTCCTCAGAGTGTAAAGGAGAAGACTCAGTGACCCAGACAGAGGGAGACATCTTTGCTTTTGAAGGACACACAGTTACACTCAACTGTACATTTGAGACAAGTAGTACAGCTCCAACATTGTTCTGGTATCGACAGGATCTTCAGGATTTCCCAAAGTACATGCTGAGATGTATCTCAGGAACAACAGAATTTGCTCCTGAGTTCAACAAAGACAGATTCAATGCGACAATAAAGGGGAAATCAGTGAATCTGGAGATCCAGAACCTTCATCTGTCTGACTCTGCTGTGTACTACTGTGCTCTGAGGCCCACAGTGACAGGAAACACCAAAACTCTCTACAAAAACCATTGAAAACAAAGACCTCCAGGATATCCACCAGAGGGAGACTCTCACTCTCAGACAACAAAGATACAGTCACAAAGGAAATCCTCTTTCTGACATTAAGCTTCTGAAACCAAAATCACTCCAGATGTTTCTTTGGCAGACAGACAACCTCTTAAAAAGGTTATTTTCTGGCCCCGCCCACTGATGCTAGAGTCAGCCAATGAGAGTCCCTCCATCTCCAGAGCAGATATGATGGAGTAACTGTGAGCTCAATCATCTCAGTGTTGAGGATTAGATCTGTGCAGCAAAGAGCTTCTCTGTGTTTTCATTCTCTATCAGAGGAAGGACACTGATCATCTGCTGTCTGTTTGACTTCAACTACTCCAAAGACATGTGTCTCTACCTCTTTTTACTTGGCTCTCATTTCATAGGTAAGTGTTAGAACAGACAGCAAACTCCAACCTCACCTGCTGCTTTCAGCAGATATTTGGTCAACATTTCACAAGCAGAGCTTGATCTGAGTAAGCTAACATTTTCAGGGACTGATAGACATTTGCTGTTTGAAGAATCTCTCAATGATCCAGGATAACAGATGAAGTAAAGGACTGTTTTTCAGTCTCTTGGTGTCAGAGTCTCTTCTAACTAACATGAATTATACTCCTTTTTCAGCCCTGGCCTCCATGAACACCATAAAACCAGTCAGCCCTGAAGAAACTGTTAAAGAGGGCACAAACATCAACCTGACCTGTACTTATGATGGTGTTATCTACAATATCCAATGGTACAGACAATACCAGAGATCCAGACCAGAGTTCCTGCTCTACATCACAGAGAATGGATTAATTCATCCAACTGACTCAGATTTCCCATCTTACATTGACAAAGAAAAAAAAAAGTGTAGATCTACAGATCTCCTCTGCTGCAGTGACTGACTCTGCTGTGTACTACTGTGCTCTGAGGCCCACAGTGACAGGAAACACCAAAACTCTCTACAAAAACCATTGAAAACACAATACTCCACAACATCCACTAGAGGGAGTCACACCCTGTTACAGTGATTGACTGTGCTGCTACACTCAAGACTTTTCTGTATTTAGAATAATGACAACAATGAAGGAAAATCAAACAGATTTATATTTTTCTTTCATATGACTCAAAGTAAAAAGGGAATGATGTTCAGTGAGGTAGAAAAAGTAAAATGAACATGTGAACAAAATATAATCATGCAAATAAAGAAGAAAATCCACTGACTGTTAGTTTTGGTTTAATTTTCATCTTAATAAGAAGTCTCTTTTTATTTGAAGTGTCTGTGATTCTTCTCGGTGTACCTCAGGGTTTAATTCTAGGTCCTCTCATTTTTCTTTTTTTAAATGTTATAATCAAATCATGATGTTGTTCAGTTATTGCTAATGGTGGAAAGATTTTATCAAAATAAACTGTGATATTGAAATCACTGACTCTTGAAATGAGCATTTGAAGCTCCACCAGGGGGCGACTTTATCACTGAGGAAGTACAACACCTCTGCAGAGAGTTAGACCATTGTGTGAATAATAACTGCTGCTGTGAAGAGAACACTTCTCACAGTGACTGTTGAACATCTGCTAGCCTGTCCTGTTGATTTAAACCTTGTTGTAGAGATGGAACATTGTCTCTGGATTATTTTGGCGGCTCTTTTCACTGGTAAGAAAGGATGGTTATGGTTTATCATTGAAGAAATATTGAGATCAACTGGAGTTAAAAATAGAAACTTCATTACAGTTTAGGTCTTTAGGTCTAAAAAGTAAAGCATTACTTTCATATTTGACCCTGCATTTTCCTCTCAGCTACATGAACAACATCATTCTAATGACGTATTTTCTCCACCTTTTCCAGGACTAATAGATGGAGACAAAATCACTCCTGTTAGAGATGAAGTCAGTGGAACAGAAGGACAACCTGTAACACTCAGGTGTGACTATGAGACAACAAGTGAATCTGTTCTCCTCCACTGGTACAGACATCAATCTGACCTCCAGGCCCCTCAGTTTATACTCTGGAAAGGAGCCAGATCTTGGAGCAGTGAGAAATATATTCCAAATGGACGATATGAATCTAAAACATCAAGAAGCTCAACTGAACTGACCATCAAAGAGCTAACCCTGGCAGACACAGCTCTCTACTACTGTGCTTTAGACACACAGTGATACAAAGTGTAGAAGAGGCTGTACAAAAAGCTGAACACAGATATCTGACTGCTCTTCAAAGAGGAGGGAAGTGGGATTCAAACCACAGCTTCATATCAGACGGATTCTGTTTTATCAGAGTCACTGTGGTTACAGCTGATCATCAGACACTGTGGGAGGAGCAAATACACATCCATGACAAACTGACTGGATCAACCTTTGAATACAAACAATTTTCAATCTTTTACATTGAAAACAATTTAATTATGTTTATTCATAGAGGATTTATAAACAGAGATGTTCTCTAAAAGAAACAGGTCAAAAGTGAAAGGTCGTTCAAACAGGAGTCATGTACTCTCTTCTCTTAGTTTAAAGTCCAGCTGCCAAATTTGGAGTCAATTAATTAATTTCTTATTTCTATCTGAGGAAATACCATTACAGTAATCTAATAGTGAATAAATAAAAGCATGAATGGTTGTTTGGGTGTCATTCAAAGTCAGCACAGATCTTCTTTTGGTGATATTTCTCTGATATTAAAAGCATGATTTATAACTGTGTTTGTATGTTTCTGAAAAGTGAGGCTGCTGTCAAAATTAACTCTGAGGTTTCTGACTGTTTGTTTTTAAATGAGAGAAAACCAAAGGAGGACTGAATTTGTGTGTGTAACTTCTCTGAGATGATAAGTACTTCAGTTTAGTCCATGTTTAATTTGAAGAAATTTTCTGCCATCCAGTTTTTTAATATCGATGAGACAGTTTGTGAGGTTTTCTCTGCTGCTTAGATCTAAAGGTAGATTCAGCTGAGTGTCATCAGCGTAACACTAAAATGAAATGTTGTGTCTCTGCATTAAGTGACAAAGTCGCAGTATGTAAATAAAAAATAATATTGGTCCCAAAACTGACCCCTGAGGTACTCCACAGTTCACCTCAGAGTGAGGTAAAATCTTTGATTTGTTAAATATGAATGAAACCATTTCAAAGCTGTCTCTGATATACCAACCCAGTCCTGCAGCCTCTATGTCATAATTTTGTGGTGGACTGTATCGAATGCTGCACTTAAATACAGAAACACAAGGACAGAGCACGCACAAGTGTCTGCCTTGTGGTCTTACTGAGGTCTGTATGGACTCCTTATTTCAACACTGACAACAAGTGAGTCAGGTTATAATAGCAGCAACCTCTCCTGTCAGACTTCTGTGACCGAGCAGATTGAAAACTCGCAAGCAAATCATCCCTGAGCCATATGTCCAAAACATGTCAAACAAACACATGAAACATTTGGAATCTCATGTATTTAAAGTGAAAATCAAAATTTATAAATTGATAAAATTTGGAAAAAAAAAAAAAAAAATTTCAGCTCTTAAAGACGAGTAAAAAGAACACTGATGCATGTGTGTCAATATGTGATGTGTCTGAAAACAAGCCAATGATTGAAAAAAGTAAAGATTTGAACTCCCAAAGATGGCTGACTACAAGACAGGCTCTGATTGGTTAAAGTTGTGAGTAGAGTGAGTAACAGAGAGCTGTGAATGAGACCTGTCTCTGGGATCAGGCTCCTCCTTCTAATCCTCCAACTTAGTGCTGATGTAGACTAAACAGAGAGATCACAGCCTTCTTTAGACTTGCTGGAGCTCAGAGTTATCAACACTGCAGATATGATGTCTCTGTTGATCTCAGTGTTGCTGGCTGCTGTGTGCCTTGGTATGAACTCCACTCTGTTTCTTTGACATCAATCCAGCACTGACATCAACCTGTAACAGTCATCTAAAACTATTTGTTGTTGTTTTACAGAATGTATGGCACAAACAGACAAGGTGCTGCAACCACAAAGTGATGAGACTGCAACTGAAGGAGAGGCAGAGACACTCAACTGTCAATATACCAGCAGTTCAACAAATCCATCTCTATTCTGGTACAAACAGGATGGACACAACAGACCCAGATTCATCCTGAGTCGCTTTAAAGGAGATGAAGGAAACACACCAGAGGAGTTTAAGGAGAGATTTTCCTCCACACTGAATTCCTCCTCCAACTCAGGATCAGTTCCTCTGAAGATCCAGAACCTTCATCATTTACACTGAAACCTACTGATGGTTCTCCTACAGTCTCCTGAGTTTATTGATCATCTCTTCTGCTTGTTTTCTTCTTCCTCAGAGTGTAAAGGAGAAGACTCAGTGACCCAGACAGAGGGAGAAATCTCTGCTTTTGAAGGACACACAGTTACACTCAACTGTACATTTGATACAAGTAGTACAACTCCAACATTGTTCTGGTACCGACAGGATCTTCAGGATTCCCCAAAGTACATGCTGAGATCTTACTATGGAACAGTTGAAAATGCACCAGAGTTCAACAAAGACAGATTTATAGCTGCAACAAATGGGAAACTATTTCCTCTGAAGATCCAGAACCTTCATCTGTCTGACTCTGCTGTGTACTACTGTGCTCTGCAGCCCACAGTGACAGGAAACACCAAAACTCTCTACAAAAACCATTGAAAACACAATACTCCACAACATCCACTAGAGGGAGTCACACCCTGTTCATCTTTTCCTGGTCTGTGATGATTCAGTCTGGAGTCTTTTTGCTCCTGAGACATTTGTGATGAAGAGCTGCAGTCATGAATTGTTTTAACATCTAAGTCTCCTCCTCCTGACTGCAGAGGAGCTTCATGACAGAGATCTGTGTGAGTTAAGCTGAGATCATCAGACCAATCACAGCTCACCAAACTTCCTCAGTCTGATCCTTCACTTACAGCATTTCAACTCTACAAACATGGAAAAACTTTCTGTTCTTTTACTGTTTTCAGCTGTTTTAGGTTTGTATGATTCAAAGATTTTAATGATGAATAATTTATGTAACCATGAAAACAACTTTAAACATGAATTTTAATGTTTATAATGTAAAAATAAATTTAATATGACATTTTCAATATAATCTACATCTGATAAAAATAATTTATGAAAACTTTTTGTCTTCAGGTGTCAGCTGTGAAGATCTCATTCCACTGGAGAAAGAAAAGTTCAGTTTAGAGAGCAGCTCAGTTACTCTGTCCTACAATTACTCCAGAGAAGCATCTGCTGGTGATACATTCTTCTGGTATCAACAATATCCAGGAACACCACCGCAGTTTCTCATCTCACACTCAGGATCAGGAACACCCATATCAGATCCAGTCTCTAGACTGTCTTTTCAAGTGAGTGAGGATAAAATCCATGTGAATCTACAGATCTCCTCTGCTGCAGTGACTGACTCTGCTGTGTACTACTGTGCTCTGCAGCCCACAGTGACAGGAAACACCAAAACTCTCTACAAAAACCATTGAAAACACAATACTCCACAACATCCACTAGAGGGAGTCACACCCTGTTCATCTTTTCCTGGTCTGTGATGATTCAGTCTAGTCTTCTCTCTCAGGAGACATTGGTGATGAAGAGCTGCAGTCATGAATTGTTTTAACATCTAAGTCTCCTCCTCCTGACTGCAGAGGAGCTTCATGACAGAGATCTGTGTGAGTTAAGCTGAGATCATCAGACCAATCACAGCTCACCAAACTTCCTCAGCCTGATCCTTCACTTACAGCATTTCAACTCTACAAACATGGAAAAACTTTGTTCTTTTACTGTTTTCAGCTGTTTTAGGTTTGTATGATTCAAAGATTTTAATGAAGAATAATTTATGTAACCATGAAAACAACTTTAGATAAGAATTTTAATGTTTAACATGTTAAAATTTATTTAATATGACATTTTCATTATAATCTACAACTACACAAAATAATTTATGGAAACTTTTTGTCTTCAGGTGTCAGCTGTGAAGATCTCGCTCCAACTAAAAATGAGGAGTCCTGTATAGAGGGCAGCTCTGTTACTCTGTCCTACAAATCCTCCAAACTATCATCTGGTGATTATTTCTTCTGGTATCGACAATATCCAGGAACACCACCACAGTTCCTCATCTCTCACTCAGGATCAGGCACACCCATATCAAAACCAGTCCCTAGACTGTCTTTTAAAGTGAGTGAGGATAAAATCCATGTGAATCTACAGATCTCCTCTGCAGCAGTGACTGACTCTGCTGTGTACTACTGTGCTGTGAAGCCCACAGTGACAGGAAACACCAAAACTCTCTACAAAAACCATTGAAAACACAATACTCCACAACATCCACTAGAGAGAGTCATATCTCATCAAACTAAATTATGTGTTGATGTATTCAGGACTTGTATATATTTATAAACACAGAAATAAAAAAAAAACAGGTGTTAAGTTTTGCTTCATATAACATAAAGTCTTTAAAATATGAGGAATTTTTGGATATTTAGAGGACAAATGTTTATATAAACAATATCCCTTCATATCTGCCAGGAAACAACAAAGTCCAACAAATCCTCTGATGGTTATGACAGAGAGTTGAACTCTGTAGATGAGTCTTTTTGTGACATTCTCTCTGCCAAACATACAAATCCTCACCACACAGAGAGAGGTCGTAGTTACAGTATGATAACTGGTTTGTACAGATCAGGGCTTAAAAGTTTTGAGCATTTTTCCTTCCTCAGGAGTACAACTGAATGAAGTCGCTCTTGTAAAGCTGTTTCAGATTCATCAAGTTTTTTTTCTAAAGGTGTATGATTAAGTTTGACTTCCTGTGATGACAAAATGAGAGGAGGAGCAACACAAAAACTACAAACAGTCCCATGTTGGGAATCATGAGCAGCTGTGTTCTCTCTGCTTCTGTCTCTGCTGCTCATCTACTGCAAGGGACAACAATGAAGCTTCCTTTACTTTGGATGATGATCATCTCCTTTCATACTGGTGAGTTCTTCAAAGATAGGTCAGATGTCAGACCCTGGAAAACCTTTACCTAAATGAATTTGCACACATATACATAAACTAAGTGAATGACATTACATTTACTGTCCCAGTAAGATGTGTCTCTGTCTTATTTTTTAGGGTCTTCTGAGGATTTATTACAGACACTCAGAGAAACAGTTCTGGTATCTGAGGGGAATAATGTGAATCTCTCCTGCAAGTATTCAGGCTCTGTCTATAACCTCTACTGGTATCAGCAAAAGTCCAGTTCATTTCCACATCTCCTTATAGAAGAAAGTTCAGAGAGAACAGAGAAACTGTCTTTGAATCATAACAAAGACTCAAAGGAATTTCACCTTCAGATCTCCTCTGCTGCAGTGACTGACTCTGCTGTGTACTACTGTGCTCTGAGGCCCACAGTGACAGGAAACACCAAAACTCTCTACAAAAACTCAGGCTGACACACTGACATGCTGCTGAAAGCTTATACTAACATAGTTGACTTTGTCCTTTTACCTCCACTAGAGGGCCACATCATCTCATAGGTGATGCACTAGCTCAACACTGAGTTCAGCCATTCTGTCAATATGAAGTGCTGCTGAGAAGAAAAGTTTAGTCAGACTGACAGACTGAGCAACTTCAGCTGGTTCCTCCTGTTGATTTAATCCTTGTTGTAGAGATGGATCATTGGCTGTGGATCATTCTGGCTGCTCTTTTCTTTGGTAAGAAAACTCAACATGTTTCCTCTCAACACTCTTTCTACACAGTTACACATGAACGGATCTTTATTTGGCTTCTGCAAATTTACACTGAAACCTACTGATGGTTCTCCTACAGTCTCCTGAGTTTATTGATCATCTCTTCTTCTGCTTGTTTTCTTCTTCCTCAGAGTGTAAAGGAGAAGACTCAGTGACCCAGAGAGAGGGAGAAATCTATGCTTTTGAAGGACACACAGTTACACTCAACTGTACATTTGAGACAAGTTATGGGAATCCCACATTGTTCTGGTATCGACAGGATCTTGAGGATTCCCCAAAGTACATGCTGAAATCTTACTATGGAACTGTTGAAAATGCACCAGAGTTCAACAAAGACAGATTTATAGCTGCAACAAATGGGAAACTATTTCCTCTGGAGATCCAGAACCTTCATCTGTCTGACTCTGCTGTGTACTACTGTGCTCTGAGGCCCACAGTGACAGGAAACACCAAAACTCTCTACAAAAACCATTGAAAACACAATACTCCACAACATCCACTAGAGGGAGTCACACCCTGTTACAGTGATTGACTGTGCTGCTACATTCAAGACTTTTCTGTATTTAGAATAATGACAACAATGAAGGAAAATCAAACAGATTTATATTTTTCTTTCATATGACTCAAAGTAAAAAGGGAATGATGTTCAGTGAGGTAGAAAAAGTAAAATGAACATGTGAACAAAATATAATCATGCATATAAAGAATAAAATCAACTGACTTTTGATTTGGTTTAATTTTTATCTTAATAAAAAGTCTCTTTTTATTTGAAGTGTCTGTGATTCTTCTCGGTGTACCTCAGGGTTTAATTCTTGGTCCTCTAATTTTTCTTTTTTTAAAATGTTTGAATCAAATTATGAAGTGGTTCAGTTATTGCTAATGGTGGAAAGATTTTATCAAAATAACCTGTGATATTGAAATCACTGACTCTTGAAATGAGCATTTGAAGCTCCACTAGGGGGCGACTTTATCACTGAGGAAGTACAACACCTCTGCAGAGAGTTAGACCATTGTGTGAATAATAACTGCTGCTGTGAAGAGAACACTTCTCACAGTGACTGTTGAACATCTGCTAGCCTGTCCTGTTGATTTAAACCTTGTTGTAGAGATGGAACATTGTCTCTGGATTATTTTGGCGGCTCTTTTCACTAGTAAGAAAGGATGGTTATGGTTTGTCATTGAAGAATTATTCAGATAAACTGGAGTTAAAAACAGAAACTTCATTACAGTTTAGGTCTTTAGGTCTAAAAAGTTAAGCATTACTTTCATATTTGACCCTGCATTTTCCTCTCAGCTACATGAACAACATCATTCTAATGACGTATTTTCTCCACCTTTTCCAGGACTAATAGATGGAGACAAAATCTCTCCTGTTAGAGATGAAGTCAGTGGAACAGAAGGACAACCTGTAACACTCAGATGTGACTATGAGACAACAGATGAAGATGTTGCCCTCCACTGGTACAGACATCAATCTGACCTCCAGGCCCCTCAGTTTATACTCTGGAAAGGAGCCAGATCATGGAGCAGTGACAAATATATTCCAAATGGACGATATGAATCTGAAACATCAAGAAGCTCAACTGAACTGACCATCAAAGAGCTAACCCTGGCAGACACAGCTCTCTACTACTGTGCTTTAGACACACAGTGATACAAAGTGTAGAAGAGGCTGTACAAAAAGCTGAACACAGATATCTGACTGCTCTTCAAAGAGGAGGGAAGTGGGATTCAAACCACAGCTTCATATCAGACGGATTCTGTTTTATCAGAGTCACTGTGGTTACAGCTGATCATCAGACACTGTGGGAGGAGCAAATACACATCCATGACAAACTGACTGGATCAACCTTTAAAAATACAGAACATTGATACAGTACATAAAGTTAAATAAACTACTAATAATAATCTTTATTTATATAGCACTTTTCAAAACAGGGTTATGAAGTGTTTTAAAGCTTATAAAGCTTGTAAAGAATAAAACACACTCAGATAACATCTTCAGTAAAAGCACATCCTTAATAATGTGTTTTTTTAAAAGACACTTAAAAGATGTTAAACAGGCTTTCATTCTGATCTCCTCAGGGGGGTTGTTCTAGGGGGTGGGGGCTCTGATAGAAAAGGCCTGGTCACCGTAGCTGCAGGAAATTCTCAGACAACCAGTATTTATGTCTCTGATACAGTTTTTTAAAGTGGTTAAAATCATTGGGTTTAAAAGACAGGTACAGCTGGGTATCATCCACATATGAGTGAAAACTTCCATTGTGTTTGTAGATGATATGACCCAGGGGTAAAATGTAGAAAGAGAAGAACAGTGATCCAAGGACCGACCCTTGGGGAACCTCACAGGTCAGCCTCACACTGGATGATTGTGAGCTGCCTATAGCATGTCCGGTAAAAAAGAGTGAAACCAGTTTCAAACTGAACCTGACATGCCAACCCAGTGTTGCATGTTTTCCAGTTAAATAACACGATCAACAGTAACAAAGAAAACACTCTAGTCTAAAATTGTCTCCAGATTTCAGTGCTTTGCATTTTATTTGGAATGGAATTTAAAGTAATCTTAAAAAGCCCACAAGACATTGCTACTTGAAAATATTTGATACTTTAAATTTTAAAATCTGCAACTGACTTACAAATTCTTAAAATATCAAATAAATTTACTTAATGAATAACCCAGAACCAAATGATGAAGGAACAAGAGACAGGCTCTGATTGGTTAAAGTTGTGAGTAGAGTGAATAACAGAGAGCTGTGAATGAGACCTGTCTCTGGGATCAGGCTCCTCCTTCTAATCCTCCAACTTAGTGCTGATGTAGACTAAACAGAGAGATCACAGCCTTCTTTAGACTTGCTGGAGCTCAGAGTTATCAACACTGCAGATATGATGTCTCTGTTGATCTCAGTGTTGCTGGCTGCTGTGTGCCTTGGTATGAACTCCACTCTGTTTCTTTGACATCAATCCAGCACTGACATCAACCTGTAACAGTCATCTAAAGCTATTTGTTGTTGTTGTTTTACAGAATGTATGGCACAAACAGACAACGTGCTGCAACCACAAAGAGATGAGACTGCAACTGAAGGAGAGGCAGCGACACTCAACTGTCAATATACCAGCAGTTACACAAGTAATTACCTCTTCTGGTACAAACAGGATGGAAACAACAGACCCAGATTCATCCTGAGTCGCTTTCAAGGAGGTGAAGGAAACACACCAGAGGAGTTTAAGGAGAGATTTTCCTCCACACTGAATTCCTCCTCCAAATCAGGATCAGTTCCTCTGAAGATCCAGAACCTTCATCTGTCTGACTCTGCAGTGTACTACTGTGCTCTGCAGCCCACAGTGACAGGAAACAACAAAACTCTCTACAAAAACCATTGAAAACACAATACTCCACAACATCCACTAGAGGGAGTCACACCCTGTTCATCTTTTCCTGGTCTGTGATGATTCAGTCTAGTCTTCTCTCTCAGGAGACATTGGTGATGAAGAGCTGCAGTCATGAATTGTTTTAACATCTAAGTCTCCTCCTCCTGACTGCAGAGGAGCTTCATGACAGAGATCTGTGTGAGTTAAGCTGAGATCATCAGACCAATCACAGCTCACCAAACTTCCTCAGCCTGATCCTTCACTTACAGCATTTCAACTCTACAAACATGGAAAAACTTTCTGTTCTTTTACTGTTTTCAGCTGTTTTAGGTTTGTATGATTCAAAGATTTTAATGATGAATAATTTATGTAACCATGAAAACAACTTTAAATATAAATTTTAATGTTTATCATGTTAAAATTAATTTAAAATGACATTTTCAATATAATCTACATCTGATCAAAATAATTTATGGAAACTTTTTCTCTTCAGGTGTCAGCTGTGAAGATCTCATTCCACTGGAGAAAGAAAAGTTCAGTTTAGAGAGCAGCTCAGTTACTCTGACCTACAAATACTCCAGAGAAGCATCTGCTAGTGATTATTTCTTCTGGTATCGACAATATCCAGGAACACCACCGCAGTTTCTCATCTCTCACTCATCAACAGGAACACTTTTAGCTCCAGTGTCTGGACTGTCTGCTTCCATGAGTGAGGATAAAACTCGTATGAATCTGAGGATCTCCTCTGCTGCAGTGACTGACTCTGCTGTGTACTACTGTGCTCTGAGGCCCACAGTGACAGGGAACACCAAAACTCTCTACAAAAACTCAGGCTGACACACTGACATGCTGCTGAAAGCTTATACTAACATAGTTGACTTTGTCCTTTTACCTCCACTAGAGGGCCACATCATCTCATAGGTGATGCACTAGCTCAACACTGAGTTCAGCCATTCTGTCAATATGAAGTGCTGCTGAGAAGAAAAGTTTAGTCAGACTGACAGACTGAGCAACTTCAGCTGGTTCCTCCTGTTGATTTAATCCTTGTTGTAGAGATGGATCATTGGCTGTGGATCATTCTGGCTGCTCTTTTCTTTGGTAAGAAAACTCAACATGTTTCCTCTCAACACTCTTTCTACACAGTTACACATGAACCAATCTTTATTTGGCTTCTGCAAATTTACACTGAAACCTACTGATGGTTCTCCTACAGTCTCCTGAGTTTATTGATCATCTCTTCTTCTGCTTGTTTTCTTCTTCCTCAGAGTGTAAAGGAGAAGACTCAGTGACCCAGACAGAGGGAGAAATCTTTGCTTTTGAAGGACACACAGTTACACTCAACTGTACATTTGAAACCACTGATACAGACCCCACATTGTTCTGGTATCAACAGGATCTTCAGGATTTCCCAAAGTACATGCTGAAATCTTACTCGGGAACTGTTGAAAATGCACCAGAGTTCAACAAAGACAGATTTATAGCTGCAACAAATGGGAAACTATTTCCTCTGGAGATCCAGAACCTTCATCTGTCTGACTCTGCTGTGTACTACTGTGCTCTGAGGCCCACAGTGACAGGAAACACCAAAACTCTCTACAAAAACCATTGAAAACACAATACTCCACAACATCCACTAGAGGGAGTCACACCCTGTTACAGTGATTGACTGTGCTGCTACATTCAAGACTTTTCTGTATTTAGAATAATGACAACAATGAAGGACAATCAAACAGATTTATATTTTTCTTTCATATGACTCAAAGTAAAAAGGGAATGATGTTCAGTGAGGTAGAAAAAGTAAAATGAACATATGTACAAAATATAATCATGCATATCAAGAAGAAAATCCACTGACTGTTAGTTTTGTTTAATTTTCATCTAAATAAAAAGTCTCTTTTTATTTGAAGTGTCTGTGATTCTTCTCGGTGTACCTCAGGGTTTAATTCTAGGTCCTCTAATTTTTCTTTTTTTTTTAATGTTTGAATCAAATTATGAAGTGGTTCAGTTATTGCTAATGGTGGAAAGATTTTTTCAAAATAAACTGTGATAATGAAACCACTGACTGTTTAAATGAGTATTTGAAGCTCCACCAGGGGGCGACTTAATCAACAAGGAAGTACAACACCTCTGCAGAGAGTTAAACCATTGTGTGAATAATAACTGCTGCTGTGAAGAGAACACTTCTCACAGTGACTGTTGAACATCTGCTAGCCTGTCCTGTTGATTTAAACCTTGTTGTAGAGATGGAACATTGTCTCTGGATTATTTTGGCGGCTCTTTTCACTGGTAAGAAAGGATGGTTATGGTTTATCATTGAAGAATTATTCAGATCAACTGGAGTTAAAAACAGAAACTTCATTACAGTTTAGGTCTTTAGGTCTAAAAAGTAAAGCATTACTTTCATATTTGACCCTGCATTTTCCTCTCAGCTACATGAACAACATCATTCTAATGACGTATTTTCTCCACCTTTTCCAGGACTAATAGATGGAAACAAAATCTCTCCTGTTAGAGATGAAGTCAGTGGAACAGAAGGACAACCTGTAATTCTCAGGTGTGACTATGAGACAACAAGTGAAAATGTTGACCTCCACTGGTACAGACATCAATCTGACCTCCAGGCCCCTCAGTTTATACTCTGGAAAGGAGCCAGATCACGGAGCAACAGTAAATATATTCCAAATGGACGATATGAATCTGAAACATCAAGAAACTCAACTAAACTGACCATCAAAGAGCTAACCCTGGCAGACACAGCTCTCTACTACTGTGCTTTAGACACACAGTGATACAAAGTGTAGAAGAGGCTGTACAAAAAGCTGAACACAGATATCTGACTGCTCTTCAAAGAGGAGGGAAGTGGGATTCAAACCACAGCTTCATATCAGACGGATTCTGTTTTATCGGAGTCACTGTGGTTACAGCTGATCATCAGACACTGTGGGAGGAGCAAATACACATCCATGACAAACTGACTGGATCAACCTTTGAATACAAACAATTTTCAATCTTTAACATTGAAAACAATTTAATTATGTTTATTTATAGAGGATTTATAAACAGAGATGTTCTCTAAAAGAAACAGGTCAAAAGTGAAAGGTCGTTCAAACAGGAGTCATGTACTCTCTTCTCTTAGTTTAAAGTCCAGCTGCCAAATTTGGAGTCAATTAATTAATTTCTTATTTCTACCTGAGGAAATACCATTACAGTAATCTAATAGTGAATAAATAAAAGCATGAATGGTTGTTTGGGTGTCATTCAAAGTCAGCACAGATCTTCTTCTAGTGATATTTCTCTGATATTAAAAGCATGATTTATAACTGTGTTTGTATGTTTCTGAAAAGTGAGGCTGCTGTCAAAATTAACTCTGAGGTTTCTGACTGTTTTTAATTGAGAGAAAACCAAAGGAGGACTGAATTTGTGTGTGTAACTTCTCTGAGATGATAAGTACTTCAGTTTAGTCCATGTTTAATTTGATAAATTTTCTGCCATCCAGTTTTTAATATTGATGATAAAGTTTGTGAGGTTTTCTCTGATGCTTAGATCTACAGGTAGATTCAGCTGAGTGTCATCAGCGTAACATTAGAATGAAATGTTGTGTCTCTGTATTAGGTGAAAAAGTCGCAGTATGTAAATAGAAAATAATACTGGTCCCAAAATTGACCCCTGAGGTACTCCACAGTTCACCTCAGAGTGAGGTAAAATCTTTGATTTGTTAAATATGAATGAAACCATTTCAAAGCTGTCTCTGATATACCAACCCAGTCCTTCAGCCTCTATGTCATAATTTTGTGGTCGACTGTATCGAATGCTGCACTTCAATCCAGAAACACAAGGACAGAGCATGCACAAGTGTCTGCCTTGTGGTCTTACTGAGGTCTGTATGGACTCCTTAGCTCCAACACTAACAACAAGTGAGTCAGGTTATACTAGCAGCAACCTCTCCTGTCAGACTTCCGTGACCAAGCAGATTGAAAACTCGCAAGCAAATCATCCCTGAGCCATATGTCCAAAACATGTCAAACAAACACATGAAACATTTGGAATCTCATGTATTTAAAGTGAAAATCCAACTATATAAATTGATAAAATTGTTAAAAAAATGTCATCACTTAAAGACGAGTAGAAAGAACACTAATGCATGTGTGTCAATAGGTGATGTGTCTGAAAACAAGCCAATGATTGAAAAAAGTAAAGATTTGAACTCCCAATGATGGCAGACTACAAGACAGGCTCTGATTGGTTAAAGTTGTGAGTAGAGTGAATAACAGAGAGCTGTGAATGAGACCTGTCTCTGGGATCAGGCTCCTCCTTCTAATCCTCCAACTTAGTGCTGATGTAGACTAAACAGAGAGATCACAGCCTTCTTTAGACTTGCTGGAGCTCAGAGTTATCAACACTGCAGATATGATGTCTCTGTTGATCTCAGTGTTGCTGGCTGCTGTGTGCCTTGGTATGAACTCCACTCTGTTTCTTTGACATCAATCCAGCACTGACATCAACCTGTAACAGTCATCTAAAACTATTTGTTGTTGTTTTACAGAATGTATGGCACAAACAGACAACGTGCTGCAACCACAAAGAGATGAGACTGCAACTGAAGGAGAGGCAGCGACACTCAACTGTCAATATACCAGCAGTTACACAAGTAATTACCTCTTCTGGTACAAACAGGATGGAAACAACAGACCCAGATTCATCCTGAGTCGCTTTAAAGGAGATGAAGGAAACACACCAGAGGAGTTTAAGGAGAGATTTTCCTCCACACTGAATTCCTCCTCCAACTCAGGATCAGTTCCTCTGAAGATCCAGAACCTTCATCTGTCTGACTCTGCTGTGTACTACTGTGCTCTGCAGCCCACAGTGACAGGAAACACCAAAACTCTCTACAAAAACCATTGAAAACACAATACTCCACAACATCCACTAGAGGGAGTCACACCCTGTTCATCTTTTCCTTTTCTGTGATGATTCAGTCTAGTCTTCTCTCTCAGGAGACATTGGTGATGAAGAGCTGCAGTCATGAATTGTTTTAACATCTAAGTCTCCTCCTCCTGACTGCAGAGGAGCTTCATGACAGAGATCTGTGTGAGTTAAGCTGAGATCATCAGACCAATCACAGCTCACCAAACTTCCTCAGCCTGATCCTTCACTTACAGCATTTCAACTCTACAAACATGGAAAAACTTTCTGTTCTTTTACTGTTTTCAGCTGTTTTAGGTTTGTATGATTCAAGGATTTTAATGATGAATAATTTATGTAACCATGAAAACAACTTTAGATAAGAATTTTAATGTTTAACATGTTAAAATTAATTTAATATGACATTTTCAATATAATCTACATCTGATCAAAATAATTTATGGAAACTTTTTCTCTTCAGGTGTCAGCTGTGAAGATCTCACTCCACTGGAGAGAGAAAAGTTCAGTTTAGAGAGCAGCTCAGTTACTCTGACCTACAATTACTCCAGAGCTGCTGCTCTTAATGATTATTTCTTCTGGTATCGACAATATCCAGGAACACCACCACAGTTTCTCATCTCTCACACATCAACAGGAACACTTTTAGCTCCAGTGTCTGGACTGTCTGCTTCCATGAGTGAGGATAAAACTCAAATGAATCTGAGGATCTCCTCTGCTGCAGTGACTGACTCTGCTGTGTACTACTGTGCTGTGAAGCCCACAGTGACAGGAAACACCAAAACTCTCTACAAAAACTCAGGCTGACACACTGACATGCTGCTGAAAGCTTATACTAACATAGTTGACTTTGTCCTTTTACCTCCACTAGAGGGCCACATCATCTCATAGGTGATGCACTAGCTCAACACTGAGTTCAGCCATTCTGTCAATATGAAGTGCTGCTGAGAAGAAAAGTTTAGTCAGACTGACAGACTGAGCAACTTCAGCTGGTTCCTCCTGTTGATTTAATCCTTGTTGTAGAGATGGATCATTGGCTGTGGATCATTCTGGCTGCTCTTTTCTTTGGTAAGAAAACTCAACATGTTTCCTCTCAACACTCTTTCTACACAGTTACACATGAACGGATCTTTATTTGGCTTCTGCAAATTTACACTGAAACCTACTGATGGTTCTCCTACAGTCTCCTGAGTTTATTGATCATCTCTTCTTCTGCTTGTTTTCTTCTTCCTCAGGGTGTAAAGGAGAAGACTCAGTGACCCAGACAGAGGGAGAAATCTTTGCTTTTGAAGGACACACAGTTACACTCAACTGTACATTTAAGACGAGTGGTACAGCTCTAACATTGTTCTGGTATCGACAGGATCTTCAGGATTTCCCAAAGTACATGCTGAAATGTTACTCAGGAACAACAGAATTTGCTTCTGAGTCCGACAAAGACAGATTCAATGCAACAATAAAGGGGAAATCAGTAAATTTGGAGATCCAGAACCTTCATCCGTCTGACTCTGCTGTGTACTACTGTGCTCTGAGGCCCACAGTGACAGGAAACACCAAAACTCTCTACAAAAACCATTGAAAACAAAGACCTCCAGGATATCCACCAGAGGGAGACTCTCACTCTCAGACAACAAAGATACAGTCACAAAGGAAATCCTCTTTCTGACATTAAACTTCTGAAACCAAAGTCACTCCAGATGTTTCTTTGGCAGACAGACAACCTCTTAAAAAGGTTATTTTCTGGCCCCGCCCACTGGGACTAGAGTCAGCCAATGAGATTCCCTCCATCTCCAGAGCAGATATGATGGAGAAACTGTGAGCTCAATCATCTCAGTGTTGAGGATTAGATCTGTGCAGCAAAGAGCTTCTCTGTGTCTTCATTCTCTATCAGAGGAAGGACACTGATCATCTGCTGTCTGTTTGACTTCAACTACTCCAAAGACATGTGTCTCTACCTCTTTTTACTTGGCTCTAATTTCATAGGTAAGTGTTAGAACAGACAGCAAACTCCAACCTCACCTGCTGCTTTCAGCAGATATTTGGTCAACATTTCACAAGCAGAGCTTGATCTGAGTAAGCTAACATTTTCAGGGACTGATAGACATTTGCTGTTTGAAGAATCTCTCAATGATCCAGGATAACAGATGAAGTAAAGGACTGTTTTTCAGTCTCTTGGTGTCAGAGTCTCTTCTAACTAACATGAATTATACTCCTTTTTCAGCCCTGGCCTCCATGAACACCATAAAACCAGTCAGCCCTGAAGAAACTGTTAAAGAGGGCACAAACATCAACCTGCCCTGTACTTATGATGGTGCTATCAACAATATCCAATGGTACAGACAATACCAGAGATCCAGACCAGAGTTCCTGCTCTACATCACAGAGTACGGATTAATTCATCCAACTGACTCTAATTTCCCAGCTTACATTGATAAAAACAACAAACGTGTAGATCTACAGATCTCCTCTGCTGCAGTGACTGACTCTGCTGTGTACTACTGTGCTCTGCAGCCCACAGTGACAGGAAACACCAAAACTCTCTACAAAAACCATTGAAAACACAATACTCCACAACATCCACTAGAGGGAGTCTCACCCTGTTCATCTTTTCCTGGTCTGTGATGATTCAGTCTAGTCTTCTCTCTCAGGAGACATTGGTGATGAAGAGCTGCAGTCATGAATTGTTTTAACATCTAAGTCTCCTCCTCCTGACTGCAGAGGAGCTTCATGACAGAGATCTGTGTGAGTTAAGCTGAGATCATCAGACCAATCACAGCTCACCAAACTTCCTCAGTCTGATCCTTCACTTACAGCATTTCAACTCTACAAACATGGAAAAACTTTCTGTTCTTTTACTGTTTTCAGCTGTTTTAGGTTTGTATGATTCAAAGATTTTAATGATGAATAATTTATGTAACCATGAAAACAACTTTGAATATGAATTTAAATGTTTAACATGTTCAAATTAATTTAATATGACATTTTCAATATAATCTACATCTGATCAAAATAATTTATGGGAAACTTTTTGTCTTCAGGTGTCAGCTGTGAAGATCTCACTCCACTGGAGAAAGAAAAGTTCAGTTTAGAGAGCAGCTCAGTTACTCTGTCCTACAATTACTCCAGAGCTGCTGCTCTTGATGATTATTTCTTCTGGTATCGACAATATCCAGGAACACCACCGCAGTTTCTCATCTCTCACTCATCAACAGGAACACTTTTAGCTCCAGTGTCTGGACTGTCTGCTTCCATGAGTGAGGATAAAACTCATATGAATGTGAGGATCTCCTCTGCTGCAGTGACTGACTCTGCTGTGTACTACTGTGCTCTGAGGCCCACAGTGACAGGAAACACCAAAACTCTCTACAAAAACTCAGGCTGACACACTGACATGCTGCTGAAAGCTTATACTAACATAGTTGACTTTGTCCTTTTACCTCCACTAGAGGGCCACATCATCTCATAGGTGATGCACTAGCTCAACACTGAGTTCAGCCATTCTGTCAATATGAAGTGCTGCTGAGAAGAAAAGTTTAGTCAGACTGACAGACTGAGCAACTTCAGCTGGTTCCTCCTGTTGATTTAATCCTTGTTGTAGAGATGGATCATTGGCTGTGGATCATTCTGGCTGCTCTTTTCTTTGGTAAGAAAACTCAACATGTTTCCTCTCAACACTCTTTCTACACAGTTACACATGAACGGATCTTTATTTGGCTTCTGCAAATTTACACTGAAACCTACTGATGGTTCTCCTACAGTCTCCTGAGTTTATTGATCATCTCTTCTTCTGCTTGTTTTCTTCTTCCTCAGAGTGTAAAGGAGAAGACTCAGTGACCCAGACAGAAGGAGAGATCTTTGCTTTTGAAGGACACACAGTAACACTGAACTGTACATTTGAAACCACTGATACATACCCCACTTTGTTCTGGTATCGACAGGATCTTCAGGATTTCCCAAAGTACATGCTGAAATCTTACTTAGGAACTGTTGAAAATGCACCAGAGTTCAACAAAGACAGATTTATAGCTGCAACAAATGGGAAACTATTTCCTCTGGAGATCCAGAACCTTCATCTGTCTGACTCTGCTGTGTACTACTGTGCTCTGAGGCCCACAGTGACAGGAAACACCAAAACTCTCTACAAAAACCATTGAAAACACAATACTCCACAACATCCACTAGAGGGAGTCACACCCTGTTACAGTGATTGACTGTGCTGCTACATTCAAGACTTTTCTGTATTTAGAATAATGACAACAATGAAGGAAAATCAAACAGATTTATATTTTTCTTTCATATGACTCAAAGTAAAAAGGGAATGATGTTCAGTGAGGTAGAAAAAGTAAAATGAACATATGTACAAAATATAATCATGCATATACAGAATAAAATCCACTGACTGTTAGTTTTGTTTAATTTTCATCTAAATAAAAAGTCTCTTTTTATTTGAAGTGTCTGTGATTCTTCTCGGTGTACCTCAGGGTTTAATTCTTGGTCCTCTCATTTTTCATTTTTATTTTTCAAATGTTTGAATAAAATTATGAAGTGGTTCAGTTATTGCTAATAGTGGAAAGATTTTATCAAAATAAACTGTGATAATGAAACCACTGATTGTTTAAATGAATATTTGAACCTCCACTAGGGGGCGACTTTATCAACGAGGAAGTACAACACCTCTGCAGAGAGTTAGACCATTGTGTGAATAATAACTGCTGCTGTGAAGAGAACACTTCTCACAGTGACTGTTGAACATCTGCTAGCCTGTCCTGATGATTTAAACCTTGTTGTAGAGATGGAACATTGTCTCTGGATTATTTTGGCGGCTCTTTTCACTGGTAAGAAAGGATGCTTATGGTTTATCATTGAAGAAATATTGAGATAAACTGGAGTTAAAAACAGAAACTTCATTACAGTTTAGGTCTTTAGGTCTAAAAAGTAAAGCATTACTTTCATATTTGACCCTGCATTTTCCTCTCAGCTACATGAACAACATCATTCTAATGACGTATTTTCTCCACCTTTTCCAGGACTAATAGATGGAGACAAAATCTCTCCTGTTAGAGATGAAGTCAGTGGAACAGAAGGACAACCTGTAAGACTCAGGTGTGACTATGAGACAACAGATGAATATGTTTACCTCCACTGGTACAGACATCAATCTGACCTCCAGGCCCCTCAGTTTATACTCTGGAAAGGAGCCAGATCTTATAGCCACTTGAAATATATTCCAAATGGACGATATGAATCTGAAACATCAAGAAGCTCAACTGAACTGACCATCAGAGAGCTAACCCTGGCAGACACAGCTCTCTACTACTGTGCTTTAGACACACAGTGATACAAAGTGTAGAAGAGGCTGTACAAAAAGCTGAACACAGATATCTGACTGCTCTTCAAAGAGGAGGGAAGTGGGATTCAAACCACAGCTTCATAGCAGACGGATTCTGTTTTATCAGAGTCACTGTGGTTACAGCTGATCATCAGACACTGTGGGAGGAGCAAATACACATCCATGACAAACTGACTGGATCAACCTTTGAATACAAACAATTTTCAATCTTTAACATTGAAAACAATTTAATTATGTTTATTTATAGAGGATTTATAAACAGATGTTCTCTAAAAGAAACAGGTCACCAGTGAAAGGTCGTTCAAACAGGAGTCATATACTCTTTTCTCTCTGTTTAAAGTCCAGCTGCCAAATTTGGAGTCCATTTATTAATTTCTGATTTCTACCTGAGGAAATACCATTACAGTAATCTAATAGTGAATAAATAAAAGCATGAATGGTTGTTTGGGTGTCATTCTAAGTCAGCACAGATCTTCTTTTGGTGATATTTCTTAGATATTAAAAGCATGATTTATAACTGTGTTTGTATGTTTCTGAAAAGTGAGGCTGCTGTCAAAATTAACAGTATGTAAATAAAACATAATATTGGTCCCAAAATTGACCCCTGAGGTACTCCACAGTTCACCTCAGAGTGAGGTAAAATCTTTGATTTGTTAAATATGAATGAAACCATTTCAAAGCTGTCTCTGATATACCAACCCACTCCTGCAGCCTCTCTGTCATAATTTTGTGGTCGACTGTATCGAATGCTGCACTTCAATCCAGAAACACAAGGACAGAGCATGCACAAGTGTCTGCCTTGTGGTCTGTATGGACTCCTTAGCTCCAACACTGACAACAATTGAGTCAGGTTATACTAGCAGCAACCTCTCCTGTCAGACTTCCATGACCGAGCAGATTGAGAACTAGCAAGCAAATCATCCCTGAGCCATATGTCCAAAACATGTCAAACAAACACATGAAACATTTGGAATCTCATGTATTTAAAATGAAAATCCAACTATATAAATTGATAAAATTGTTAACATTTTTTAAAAAAATGTCAGCGCTTAAAGACGAGTAGAAAGAACACTGATGCATGTGTGTCAATAGGTGATGTGTCTGAAAACAAGCCAATGATTGAAAAAAGTAAAGATTTGAACTCCCAATGATGGCTGACTACAAGACAGGCTCTGATTGGTTAAAGTTGTGAGTAGAGTGAATAACAGAGAGCTGTGAATGAGACCTGTCTCTGGGATCAGGCTCCTCCTTCTAATCCTCCAACTTAGTGCTGATGTAGACTAAACAGAGAGATCACAGCCTTCATTAGACTTGCTGGAGCTCAGAGTTATCAACACTGCAGATATGATGTCTCTGTTGATCTCAGTGTTGCTGGCTGCTGTGTGCCTTGGTATGAACTCCACTCTGTTTCTTTGACATCAATCCAGCACTGACATCAACCTGTAACAGTCATCTAAAACTATTTGTTGTTGTTTTACAGAATGTATGGCACAAACAGACAAGGTGCTGCAACCACAAGGAGATGTGACTGTAACTGAAGGAGAGGCAGAGACACTAAACTGTCAATATAACAGCAGTTCACCGAGTAATTACCTCTTCTGGTACAAACAGGATGGAAACAACAGACCCAGATTCATCCTGAGTCGCTTTCCAGGAGGTGAAGGAAACACACCAGAGGAGTTTCAGGAGAGATTTTCCTCCACACTGAATTCCTCCTACAACTCTGGATCAGTTCCTCTGAAGATCCAGAACCTTCATCCGTCTGACTCTGCTGTGTACTACTGTGCTCTGCAGCCCACAGTGACAGGAAACACCAAAACTCTCTACAAAAACCATTGAAAACACAATACTCCACAACATCCACTAGAGGGAGTCACACCCTGTTCATCTTTTCCTGGTCTGTGATGATTCAGTCTAGTCTTCTCTCTCAGGAGACATTGGTGATGAAGAGCTGCAGTCATGAATTGTTTTAACATCTAAGTCTCCTCCTCCTGACTGCAGAGGAGCTTCATGACAGAGATCTGTGTGAGTTAAGCTGAGATCATCAGACCAATCACAGCTCAACAAACTTCCTCAGCCTGATCCTTCACTTACAGCATTTCAACTCTACAAACATGGAAAAACTTTCTGTTCTTTTACTGTTTTCAGCTGTTTTAGGTTTGTATGATTCAAAGATTTTAATGATGAACAATTTATGTAACTATGA